TTGTATATAAATAGCAGAGGCAGTTGTAGGATTATTGAGGAACCTTTAAATCACCGAGCCATGTGTTGGGAGACGGGAGGGGTATTCAAAATCTTGGGGGTCCACCTTGTCAGGCTGATACATAAAGGGGGACTAAGGTGATCGAAAGTTTAAGAACCTCTGATATATAGGGTGAAATTTGCAAATATGAGCACTAAGGTAAAATGGGTACATTTAAGCAGCTATCCATATTACTTGTAATAGTTTTGAGTTAGTGCATTTGTGAGAGAGAGAGAGAGAGATGTTCCTCAATTACTTTCTTTAACTTCTTAAATCAAACACAATTATCTCGTTTCTCACGCACAGAAACAAAACACATTCCGTCGTGTTAAAACACTCCCAAGAAACTCTATTCTTGGTACAGCAAACCACGTGCCATGCGACGGTTTTCAATCAAATTAACTCGCTTTCGTTAACACCAAATCCTGGTCAAGCGCTCCACGCTTCCAAAACCAAGGGATTCTCTCTCACCCCTAACTGTTCTGTTTGAGGGTCATTCACCATCTCCTCCACAAAACGGCAACCCCTCCCCCACAGGTTGCGGGAACCTCACCAACTCTGAAAGAATCTACCGCCAAACAGTAGTCAGACACTACAGTATTCGTACTGCGGCTTGGGTAATGCTCAAGCGTCATAGCGACTGTGTGATTTGTTTTTGTTGTTTAGCAGTTCAATAGAAGTACAAACAGATATTTTCAAATGTAAGTACAACTACCTGATACTTCAAATTGGGGTTGGTGTTATATTTTGCTTATCTTATTTAAGATTTAGCACGCAAAATTAATTTTACATGAAATCTGTAAATAATTGTAATCTTAACTTAACTCAGTGGCGCGACAGCCCCTGAGAACCAAGGCCTATTGTGCCTAATACAGTAGACAAGACCTTGGGCCCTGAGGTGCATGAGCAGATGTTCCGGTCAAGTGGTCAGTCTGACGCGATTTCTCTAGTGTTAAGCTCCCAAGAAAGCTTGGTACTCATTTATCACCCACTGAAAGTCTGAGTCAACCTTGCCCAGCCCGGGGTTTGAACCTCGGACCTGTGGCGTGGAAGCGCGATACACTAACCACAGTTGTATTCTTATGTGAGGGCATTTTCCGTTGACGGGAGTCTGTGGTTTCGTTATTTCTTCCTTCGACAGCAGTAATGCCAATTATTGAATAATGTCTCTTGAGCAAGTATGGGCAGAAAAATCAAGAGTAATATGGATTATAAAATATTAAGGGTAATGTGAGCAGCTCCTAAATTTGATGAAGTAATGCATCACGTTATGTTGCATTGAAACGTAATTCAATCACTTTTGCTTGTCATTACCCAAGGAATGAAGATACTAGACATGGTAATATGTGGATAATATATAGATCAGTTTTCAGAGAAAATTCAGGCTAATAATATAAGCATGCATCTAAAGGAAAGCTTCATCGACCTATCTCTGACAAAACTCTCAAATTTAAATTTCATTCATCCTTATTAAGATCTCAGTTTTGGCTTTCTATAAAAAGTGAATACCCTTTTCTAAACGAACAGGCGATGAAAATTCTGATTCAATTCTCTACGACTTATTTATGTGAAAATGCCTTTTCATCTGTCACAGCCATCAAAAATCGGTACCGATCTCAACTTGAAATAAATACAATTATCCGTCTTGCAGCAACACTACATCGGATTCAAATATCTATAATCTTATTTCAAGTAAGCAGGAACATCTATCGCACGAGAAGAGCATAATGCTAAAAATTTGCTTTACTTAAACCATTTTTAATTGTTTTGTTTTTACTATTTTTGTTTATATTTCTATGGATTATTAATAAAACTTTCATAATTCGGTTATATAGTCGAACCTCTCTATTACGAACTTCTATATTGCAAATTTTTCTCTATAGCGAACTTTTTCCTGGAACCAAGAACATTTCGCGGTTTTCTTCGTAATATAGCCTCCCAATAGCGAAGTGCATTTTCTATACAACAAACTTTTTCTCTTGTCATTCAATTTTTTTCTCCCTATTTTCAAAGTATTTCTGGACATTTCAAGTTATTCTTTCTTTTGACTCATTTTATGTTGGTCATGAATCTTAAACCGGCTTTATTAGGAACCTAACTCGCCGAGAGCTATAGAATTCTGGGCGTTTCATCCAAGGAGTGCAACCTTTAACCTCCACCTTCCAGTTCACTGGAAGCATCTTCTATATCCCCTTTCACTCTCAGTGGAGTTGTCTTATGTTCCAGTGTCCTTGAACTAGTCTCCGTTCATTTGTAGTGCTGATCAGTCGTACTGGTAACTTCGTTTCTCGTAGCTCGAAAATGTCAAAACGTAAGTGCTTGAGCATCTCAGAAAAAAATGAATTCTTCAGGAAGTAGATAAATGCGTCAAAAAACTTTCCTTGCAGTTTTCTTTCTTTCTTCCTTTTTTTTTGATAGGTAAGATAAATTAAAATAAATATATATTAATTTACAAAAAGGTGTGAATAGTTACTTTTTTTAATACATAGTGTTTATGAATTTAAAATATTTTTTATGTGATTTATAAAGAAAATAGAAAGATGAACCTCTCTATAGCGAATTTTCCATATAACGAACGTTTTTCCGGGATTTAGCGACTTCGTTATATAAAGAGTAAGTCTTTATTACGTGTTGTTGTTCTTTGTAATAATTTGTGTTAATTTAATAATTTATTGGATTTTCACCATATAATTATTTTTAAATTATATATAAAAACTTAGACATTTTTTGTGATACAATTGTTCGATAACAAAGGTTAGTTTCGTGGGCAGCCTAGTGGTTAGAGCATTAAACTTACTTCTTATCATTTGTCAAACATGTAATTCGTATAAAAATACATTTCCGTTTGGAAAGATAAATGGCAGTTTCTCTTAACTTTCTTATAAAGCAACTTGCCCATATTTCCGGCAATTGTGCCAGTAGTACCTAAATTTTAGTCAAATATGTTGAAAATTTGTTTTGCATCTTCTTTACACACACAGCAACAAGAATTAGAGGTTTGTTCATATACCGTTAGAAAGATCATTTTCTAAAGTTTTAAACATCTTAATTTCTGAAAAATGGAAAGTATTTAATGTAGTATGTTTTCAATTAAGTGTTTTGGGTGCCCATACTTGCCTAGTTTACCCTACATAAATAAATATATTAAATAACTTTAGTTACACAGTTATTGTGAAGGACTAATATCATAGCAAAAAGAGATGATTTTATTTTTTGATTAATTTATTCAAAATTAATATCACGGTCGAACAGAATTTAATAAGTAGCTTTCTATTTGAGAAGAAGAAACGTAAACGCTTCAGTTATTATAGTTTGAAAAAGTCATTACAAAATATGTATTTCATTTTAGATTGGATATACTTTGAAAAAGATGAAAATAATTTTTGTAGCCTTTTAATATACATTATGTTTATTCAAGTGATAAAACCGAGCAAATATTTCTAGATAAGATTTCTAGAATGAAACAAAATTGCTATATAGTTTCGAATTTTTCAAGAACTTTTGCTTTTGAGAAGTATCTATATATATAACAAATTATATATATATAGAAGACGATATTAAGCATTTCCTATTTTTTGTGCTCGTTTTGGAGAAAAGAGAAAAAATCAAATGAAAGGAACTGAAAACAAACGAAGATATTTCTAGTCAGGTAAGTTTTGAAATAACTTAAGTTTCTCGAAATATAACTTAAATCAAATTAAATCTTTCTTATTTTTTTCAGTCAGATTAAAAGCTGGATAAACATACGGCAAGCAGATGAGCAATATGTATAGTGAATACCATCTCGAAATGGCTTATTTCAATTGCAAGAACAAATATTCTGCATTTCAATGCTCGCCTATATTCATGTGTGGTGTGTGCACTCTGCCTTCATGTATTTTCTCCATTTGTTCACTTTCCTTTATATATATATATTTATAGAAGAAACAAACAATCAGAGCTAAGAAAATTATTTTCAATGCCATTTCATGTATTTTCAATTCCTACTATTAGTTCACTTATGACCCTGTGGAAGATCCCATAGTTTATATATATATCTATATCCCCCAACGCGTCCAGACATATGGCGAAAAGATATGGGCAGGCCATGGTAGGACGTCATATCCTTATATATATGGGAGAGTCGCGCAGTATGTGGATGCCGAGCATATATAAATGGCACCTGGGCGACTTGATAGCATGGGTAGCACAATAGGCTTCGTCCATATGCGAGCTGTAGTGCCTTGAAGGACCACTAAAATGATCGTGTGTCCCAAGAAATTGCTCCCACACTGTCACACCTTGTGAAATTGCTGCATGCCGCTCGACGAAATGCCGGATCTGACCGCTGGCCGGTGCATCCGACATGCGGTTCCACACCACGGGTTTGAGACTCAAGCTGCCCCCGGTAAAATCCAGTCGACACTGCCTATGTTCGCGGAGCGTCTTAGCGGACGTCGGCCCTCGCCAATCCCTCTCAATGGGTGGCACGATAAAATGAATACTAAGCTTGCTGGGAATTGCACGATTAACATTGGGGTTTTGACGGCAGACTGACCACTGAACACCTGACCGGAACATCTGCTCAAGCATCTCAGAGCCCAATGTCACGAATACTGAGTTGTTTGGCACGTACGGCGCTCGTACTCATGCTTATGCTGCGTTACATCACGGAATGTTGCGCTACTCACCAGAGCTAAGTTATATATGGGCATATATATATATATATATATATATATATATATATATATATATATATATATATATATATGGGTATAAAATATTGTTCAATCGTTAATAAAATAATTTCTATTCATCCATTCAAATTCAAATACATTTTTTAAAACTTGCAGTGGATGACACTTGATGTTAATACAGTTTCTTCAAATATTAATTCATTAATTAAATTAAAAAATGAAGAAATAGTAACAAACAAAAATAATAGTCCAAGAGCATGTATAGAAATGAGAACCGTTCGTTGTGTCCCTGTAGTGCATTGGACCGCGTGTTGGACTTTTAATCCAAAGGTTGTGGGTTCGAATTCCACTTGGGATGGCCTAATTTCTGAAAATGGGATTTCTTTTTTCCTTTACTATTTTATTAGAATAATTAAATTTAATTAATGAATAAATAGTAACAAACAAACAAAAAATAGTCCAACACCATATCTACACTATTAAAATTCGAAGGTAACCAAACGTATCTATCTATCTATCTGACTATGCGACTAAGTGTATCTATCTTCTCACGAACCGCACGACGCAGAAACTCGCCAAAGGTACCAAAAGAACGGGAATGATCCGAGGAATCCGTTTTGACCACCATTTATATTTCGATACTGCAATTAGTTAAAAAGATATTAATTAAAAACCTTAAAACGCATAATTATTTTACCCCTGAGGGCATTTTTTACCACCGAGGTGCGAAGTTCTAATTTTTCAACCTTTTTTTTTTTATCCCCGACGTTTTTAAAACACGATCTAATTTCTTTTGTGAGACTCAGACAAATAAAAATTACAGAATCGGAAAGATCGTTTACTTCGCCACGATGCGGTATAATTTATTTTACAAAATAATGATATTTTCTATTTTTTACGATTTTTTCTAAAATGAGTCAAAATTGATACGTTTTTATGAAAATGATTTCTAAATCGTTCCGTTTGCATTTTCTTTCGCGTTAATGAAATGATATTCTGCACTAAAAAGATCATGCCTTTCTCTTTTAGGAACAGTCATTTAAAAAATAAAATGTCAAAAACTTTTTTTTTACGATTTTTCAAAAAATACTCAAAATTTTATTTAAAAACTTAATAACTTCTTTATTTATAAAAATAATCTCACCAAATGTTTTTTTCCATGTGTAGAACGATATTATCCGTAATCTGTACGAAAATTGAAAAAATTACTTAAAATTTTTTAAGAAATACTTAAAATTTTTTTCGCGCATTTAACTACTTCACCAGCAATTTTGTGATTGGAAAGATAATTTATTTCGCCACGATACAGTAAGTTTTTTTCCTTTTTTTTTTACAAAACTATGATACTGTACATATTATATGATTTTTTAAAAAATGAATCAGTATCGATGCGTTTATATGAAAATGATTTTTAAAAAAACTTATACTTTGATCTTTCAGAGTTAGTGATTTAAAAAAAAATGTCGAAAACTTTTGTGTTTACGAATTTTTAAAATATACTCAAATTTTAAATATTTAATAACTACTTATCAAATTCAAATTTTTTATAACTTCTTCATTTATAAAAATAACTGCATTAATTGGAAAGATAATTTATTTCGTCACGAGATACAGTATGGTTTTTTTTTTTATACAAAACAACGATATTTTACATATTTTATGATTTTTTCTAAAATGAATCATTATCGATGCGTTTATATGAAAATGATTTTTAAAAAAACTCATACTTTGATCTTTTAGAGTTAGGGATTTAAAAAATAAAACGTCGAAAACTTTTACGCCGGACCATGCAGCTAGTATAGAAAGGAACATTGCAAGGAAAATCGCTTTCTATTTTGTCACTTAATATTGTAATTCTGTCATATGTATATACATATTTGTATTAATTGTAACCATTTAATAAAAAGTAACTAAAATAAAAATTTTCTTTGTTGACCTAATTAGGAATTAACTTAATTTTTTTTTATATTTCTTGTTACTTATACTCGCATAATTAAATTCTTGGTCATTTGAATGCGTGGGAAATTTATCGTACTCCGAAATAACACAAGGAGATGGGCGATGGACCATGTATTCTGAGCCACAGTTAACTGACAAGGAAGACACCAGAGCTCTGGCACCACGTCTCCAAACTTCCATACCATGCCAACGGGAGGACTTTTTAGACTCAACAGATTTAACACGCATCAGTCGCTCTACACGGCAGTCGAAGTCTGAAAATTCTCAAAATATCTTTTTCGAAACTTTGTGCTGTTAAGGGGTTGTCATGCCAAAACGGGTACATATTTTAACTACCTATTCACCAAAAAATAGCGCTGTTATCAGAAATAGCATTATGTTACTATCAAACACATTTTATATAAGAAAAAAATGGGTCAATTCTCGGATAAAAATCAATACTATCATAAAATATGTTGTTTTTTAAAAGATAGTGAACCAAAACAAAATATAGTATTGATGTTGAAATACTTTTTTATTTGAAAAAATATTCCAAGTCTGGTCCCAATTCTTTAACGTTGCACGAAGACAGCCTTATAAGTGGCTCAAAAAATAATTTAAAATCACAAAAACTAATGAAATAATACTATTCACATATTACTATTGTTACACGAAATTGATAGTAATATATTAGTGCTAATAAACTCATGCACTACAGTCAAAAGTTTTCATTATTCTTAATCAAGAGTTATGTATACAGAAAATGGAAACAGGTTTTTAAAAAAATGAAACGACAAGCAAATTTAAAATGAAACCATTTAAGGGAAAATATACATGCCACCTATTGCGTGCTTGCATAAGGAATTAAAATATTTTATTTTTATTTTTAACTCTGAAATCTAAATTAGTTGTGAAAGAAATGTCGTATTAAAATAAAATAAAATAGTTTCTTGTTCCTTTTTCCCAATAAATTTTTTTCAATGCATATTTATCCTCATCAAACCTTTTAAATTAATAGAACAGTCATTTTTATTGTACAATTATGAATTTCAAGCCGTTTCCAGGGATAAAATAGTACATTTTTTAATTCTGTTACTTTTATTTGAAGTACTAACAAGGAGTTACTAGTTACTGAATTAATAAATAGGAATTCCGTTTTTAACGATTTATTCGAAAACTTTTAAATTTATTAAATAAACTGTATGAACTCCTCTGTTAAACTTGGAAGAAAAATATATGTGAAGAATAAGTTAATAATCTTAAGATTTGATGAATTTTTAACCTTCATTAATGTTACATTTACACTGTTTCAGTATTTACATTTGAGCCATTAAAAAACTTTTAATGAAGTAAATATTTTTGGTACCTCTCATAAAACAAATTACGAATAAATAATTTATGAGTTGGAGAAGTTTTTTTTTTGTTTATGAAATATTCATAATAGCTATTTTGATTTTAATGCTTAACAATGCTTACTTTTCTTATACTTACCCCTACTCTTATAATTGCTAAAAAATATTCTTAGCATTTTAATAATGATGGTTCATTTAGCAAACGATTATTATTATTTTCTTGCGCAATTGTTTTTTTTGGAATCTATATACTGATGGCAACTAAATTTTTCGAATTCCTTTTATTACATTGAATAAAAGAATTCATTAAACTTCACGTGTATTGAAAGCGATTATTTTTTATTACTTTTCCGCTAAAATTCGATATAATTTCCTAAAACCATTTTCAACTTAAACAATTTAAAAGGGACATTGCCTTTAAATGGCTTATTGGCTAACAAGCAATTTTGATTTTTAATTGAAAATGTTTGTGATCATAAAGGGCACACACGCACAAGTTGCAATAACATCATCTGATTTGAATTCGAAAATGAAAATAGCTTAGATTGAATTTAGAGGAATAACTTATCCACCCCCAAATGAAAATATCAATATTAATAATCCGGAAATATATTCATTTTAGGAAAATTCGACCAAATCGAGACGATGACGATGAACGCCAGTAATCGAATCGGAAGAATGATTAATTTCAAATTATTTACGGACGGTTGACATTCACTTGCGGTTGATAATTCGAATGAACATATTAAAAAAATAATACATAAAAATTCTATTAATGTTCATCCAGATGGAAATAATTTGTACACTGTGCTACAAGGCTTTTTTTTATCTATAATCTGTCATCTAAAATTTAAGATGTAGAATTCATAAGGGCTGTATAAAATGTTTCATTTTGCAACAAAGTCATTTAAAAATGAACAAAAATAAAGATTCATCTTAAAGAATTCATTTCGATGATTTTTACTCAGGTTACGCTTGAGTAACTTCCAGTTATTGCTTTTTATTGTGCATCAGTAAAATTATATTTAATTTCATCTCTTGTTCCATTCCTCTTTTTTATTTGAATTTCATGTAAAAATAACTAATCTTTTGTTACATATCAAATTGTTTTCAATTTAAAATGGTTGAATTGGTTTTATGATTCATATATTGTTCCTTGTTTAAAATAATAAAGAACGTAAAACAGCAAAGCATTTAGTATGGAGATGGGCTAGTTAAAACCAATTTTATATTTCTGAATTTTTTAGGGTAACTAATTTTCTTATGTTAGTTGTGCTAAACTTTTTGTATCAGAAATATCTTTTGAATTTTATCAAATCAAAGTATTTACTATAATTTTTTATCTGCTGTCAAAGGAAAATCATTATTTCTTACGGGTCAATTTCTATTTTATTAATATAATGTTGCAATCATGGATAAAGTATTTTTAATTTGATAAAATGCTACTCAACCAAACCTTAACAAATTTGATTGATTAACCCCCTTTATCTATTGATGGTACTTATAAGTACCATCCACTTCAAATTACGTAGAATAACCATTCTTACGAATACTCTGACATTACTTAGCAGGAATTTTCTCTTTTAGTTCCCCTCTTCCAGGATATATAACAGCACGGGTTCTACGATGAGTATTTTAGCGGGGAGTGCGAATAATAGAAGTAGATCACATACTTCGAATCTCATTCCTTTGAAACAATATGTCACGTTTTTATATCTATGTATGATATTTTTAAACCGAATTTCGTATCCAGGTTTACATTCGAAAGAATTTTTCTGAATATATGAAGTTGGATTCAAATAAGATTGATTTCGATGGACAATCATTTCTTATCATAAACGAAAGGAATTTAGTTTTGAAAGCACTTTTAAAAAGTTTAGAAAGGGGAAAATAAAATTCCTTACTTTTGCTGCTTTCAGAATAAATGAATATTTATTTTCTTGTACACTGATTCGTAAAAGTTTTGGTGCAGCAAATTCTTTGTGTCTAATTTTAAAATAAATCAACACAACAACGTGGAATTGGGAAGAATTGTGCTTTAAATGATCGAGTTTCGGGAAATATATAA